CATTAAATATCGTATTCATGAATTTTATAATTGCTGTTATCTCTGAATCATACGAGAGAGTAATGCAGAAACTAGTGGCTGAATCATACAAGGTGAAGGCTAGTTTGATTGTTGAGAGAGAGTTGCTATTCAATCAGATTGAATTGAAAATGGAAAAATATTTCCCTAATTATATAGTGGTAAGAAGACCATTAAACACTGAAATAAAAGAAGCTGGAGAATGGTAGGGATTCATTAAAGATCTTAAGCAGACTATAAGGACTACTGTGGCTAAGTCAAAAGGTGAAATTATTTAAAATATGCATTCTCTTCATACATAGAATCATTAGAAAATTGATGAAGCATTTTCACAGAATTCAAAGCATACTTTTTCAAATGAAGGACTAGAAGAACAGATTTCAAAGTTAATTAAGCAAAAAATAGAAGAAAATCCAAAGATTATTAGCAATGATCTTAGCTAATTTAAATAATCATTAGATATTGAAGTTGAAAGTTTAAGGGGAGATATTAGGACATAAGGTAAAGAACTAAATTTTCAATTAAAAAGTCTTGAAAATTATACAAAATTAATTGATTCTTAAACTAAATAACTTGATTAACAAGTAAAAGGACTTGATTATAAAGTTGATGGCCTTGATTTACAAGTAAAAGGACTAGACAAGAAAGTTGATGGAGTAGATTCAAGATTTTTTAAAGTATAGGAGGACATTAATTATATAAAAGATTCCTTGACCTTGTTCTTTCAAAAATAATAGAATCAATGATAATAAATGAATATTCATGATAATTAATTAGATTTGCAGATTTCAAATAAAATATATCAAATCAATGACTGAATTTTTGTATAAATTGCTTTGAAACTTGCTAATGCATTGGAAAGATAAATGATTTGGGTCTGTGAATAAAAATAATATAGATTATGACTAGATAATTTAATTCTTTAATAATTTCTTAATTTTAAAATAAATCACATCAATTTTAATAACATTACTAACGGGGTTTTGGGGTTTTGGGGTTTTGGGGTTTTGGGG